AATCTCATGTGCCATAATTCTGTCTTCGACATAGATTTTGTAGATGCAACATTTGTCGAACCACTTACAACCTCAGCCTCAAGGGTATACAAGCCTTGTTTCTTCACGCCTTTCAAGACTTCCTTCGACCCCTTCATGACTCTTAGGATACTTTTCTCTCCTTGAAAAACATATCCTTTTCTGCCGAATTCACCAAGAGAAATCAAATTTCTCTTCAAGTCAGGTACGTACCTGACTTCAGTCAATAACCTTATTGACTCATCATGGAGCTTGAATCTCACAGATCCAATACCTGCAATTTTGCAAGATTTGTTGTTTCCTAGCAGCACATATCCACCATCTTGATCACATAGCTCCTCAAACAATTCTCTGTTTGGAGTCATGTGCCAAGTGCAACCTGAATCCATAATCCACTCTTTCCTTGAGTCGCCACTTGAAACCACAAGAACATCAGATGAGTCGAAGTCATCTTAAACAATGGCTGCATTGCCATTACCTCCATGATCTTTCAGGCGTTCAGGGCACACCTTTCTTATGTGACCCTCCTTCTTACAGTGATAACATCGAATACTAGATGTTTCGCCACTATAAGACTTCTGTTGACTTTTACCTTTCTTCTTGTCGAACTTACCATCCTTTCGCAAGAATTTTCCCTTAACGGCCAAACCTTCTCCCACCGTCGAAGGTTTATGCTCCTTTCGTTCGTTCAAGTCCTTAGAATACAAGGCTGATTGAACTTCTTCAAAGGTCAGGGACTCCCTTCCATACAAGAGAGTTTCTTTGAAGTGAGCATGTGTTCTGGGCAAAGCACACAGCAGCAACAGTGCTTGATCTTCATCATCGATATTCACATCAATATTTTCAAGATCAAGAATCAACTTGTTAAACATATCCAACTGCTCAGGCAACACTTTGTCTTCACTCATCTTGAATGAATATAAAGCTTGCTTCAGGTATAGTCGATTCACCAGAGATTTGGTCATGTACAAACTTTCAAGTTTCACCCATAATCCCGATGCTGTAGTCTCCTTTGATACCTGTCGAAGAACCTTATCACCAAGGCTCAACAATATTGTGCTGTGGGCTTTCTCGATCATGCCCGTCTTTTCTTTTGTCGTTAACGCAACGTCCATGACTGCCTCACCCTTCAACGCTTCCAAACAACCCTGCTGAACCAATAGGGCTTTCATCTTCAAGCGCCACAGACCGAAGTCGTTCACTCCGGTGAACTTTTCAATCTCATACTTTGTTGAAGGCATCTTCTCCATGCTCACTGCACCAATTTGTTGTGAATCGGATACTGTTAAACAAAGTATAAACGGTTTCTTATCAAGAAACACACAAGGGTTAAGGTTAACAAAGAAGACAAGGTAAAATAACAAGGAACACCAAGGATTGGTTATTAAACTGCTATTCTTTCCTTTCTCTTAGAACAAGATTACAAGTATACAAGAATAACAAAATAACCTCTCTCCCTTGAAATTAGGATTTTATCTTCCTATTTTTCCTTATGCCAAGATTGAGAAACTAGCATCCTATTTATAAAAAAATAGCACACTAACCTAATGGGGTTTTTAACAATTACCCATTACAAGCTAACTTAGGGTACAAGCTAACTTAAACAATTTGGCTTACAAGCAAGACCCAATTCAACATGCTAACAACCCTAGCAATATTGACTAATGCATGTTAGAACAAACTTCGACTACAACACGCATTACTTGCGAACAGACTTCGACTATACTAGAGTTCGATCCAACATCTCACACCTTTTAAATGTGTTGCCCCATCATTTGATGAACCATTAAGCAACTTTGATCACACTTAGCCTTAACTTTTTCACCAACTTTGACCTTTGTAAAATGATCTCATACAATACTTTTAAGTCTGGATCGATGATTTTCGGTTGTTTGGCTATCAACCTCCATATTATCATTTGGTGTGGGAGGAAGAGCTTCAATTGATAGATTACCACTTTCATTGGGAATTGGTTGATGTGTACTTTCTTGTGAGATAGGTGGACATTGTGTTTGAGAGGTACCATCATTTTCCATGACTAATTATCCAGTTGAGTTGTCCCTAAAAACAAACTAAAATCAATGAAAAACTAAAATTAATTTAATAGTAGTATGGAAAACTTTAATAGCAGTATAGAAAAATTCAACTACAATAATTCCTATAAAATTCAACGGTATGGAAAAATTCAATAACAATATTTATTAGAGTGACATAATGACATTTATGCTCTACTAATAATAACTTAATTCAAATGGTTTGATAAGTTGTTAGCTTCCATTTGAATGTTAAATTGGTCAGCTGTAAGTGTTAGGGGTGAATGAAATTATTTAGTTTATAAATTGAGAACTCGGTTAGCTTACGGTTAATAGATATTTCAACTTGGTGTTAAAAGCTTGTCATGAACTCTATGTAAAAGGGTTGAATTAATGTTAAATGCTGAAATGTGAATTGGCTGCTACTGCTATCTATCAAGATGCTTAAATATTTGCAAAATGTTGATTTCAAAAATTCTATCTAAGTATAAAAGTTCATGACAATTATGGATAATTTGAATACTAAAATTGCTTCTGAATGAAACAATAGATCTATTGAAAGACATAAAATCGAAAGAGAATGAAAGATATATTATCTTACGGTTGATTTGAGAAATCGGAGAGAGAAATGATAGATTCAAGTTTCTGTGTTGAAAGGGAGATGAGAGATTCACGGTTTTGTGTTGAGATGACTAGGTCTAGATGAGAGGTTCACATCTGTGTTGAGAAGATAAGAGAAAATGAAAAGGATTTTCTTAGATTTTTTCCATACTATTTTAATTAATTTAGTTTTAGAATATATATTTGAGAAAATAAATTAATATTAAAATAATTAAAATAAGGGTATTAAAGTAAAATTAGAGTATTCGGGCAGGGGCGGGTGCGGGTGCGGGTGCGAGCGGGTCTTAGTGTCTTCTTGTCCCCGTCCCCGCACCCGTAGTTAAAAACTGGGTTTCGCCCGCACTTGCACCCAATTAAATGGGGGTTTCCCCTTTAATTTCAGGGCAGATTTGGGCGGGTCCGGGTTTGATTGTCATGCCTAGCCTCGAGCTTTATAGGACATGGACAAAAACTCCATATTTAAAATAAACTTTTTTTTAAAAAATAAAAAAATAAAATAAAACCTTCATAACATTTATCATAAATACAATAGATAAAGTATATTACTTTTAAATATAAGTACAACATTATTATTTAAAAAAACACTATAAAATATTTTTAAATACAAAATAAATTTTAATTGTTCAAAATAATACATAAATATCTAATATAATATATTTTTAATCTGATGATATTAATGTGTTTATTAGATATTTGTATATTATTTTGAAAGTTGAATAGAATAGAAGAGATAAAATTTAATAAATTGAGATAATTCAATTTATTATTTTTGAGTAAGATAACATAAACAAAATAATACTTTTATTTTATTTTTTTTAGTTATACGAATCAAACGGACTACCTGCCGTCTTTATGGGTTATCTATAATAGACAATAGATGTTTTAGTGTTGACTATAATAATTTATATAAAATTCAGGTTTTAATTGCAAAGCATAAACCTTATATTTAATCAAATTTACGAAATTGATCGATACATACTAGTTCATTTTAACGATTCTATTTGATATAATAGTTTAAAAATTAAAATTATATTATTTTTTATAATAGTTATTTCATTATTCAAGAAAAAACTTCTAAGCACTAGTTAGTTATGATTTATAGTAAAAAAAAATATTTATTTTGTTGGATGATTTTAAAAATCACCATCACATTTTTTTTATAAGCAAAATAATTATAAGGAGAGTACTATGGATACTCTAACCTTTACAAACACAAAAATCAAACAGACCCAACAACAACAATAAAAAGACTAAAAAAAACCAAAGTAACCAAAGTAAACAAAAACACTAAAATCACCATCACATTTTTTTCACAACTAGCTAAAAGGAACAAAAACTAAAACCTGTTATTAACAAACCACACCCAACCCGAACCTGCAGAAACAAAGAAAAGAAAAATAACACAATAATCAGGCCAACTTTTAGTAATGGTCTCAATTGCAACCCAATAGCTGCAAAATTGATTACCTAACATTGAATTTACAGATTTTGCGTCATAGTAATTCACAGACTAACTACATGAACACTAAAATCACTTCTTGCATCACTGTAACCTCTTCCCTACAGTAGCGGTGCAAAAAAATCTAAAACAGAAACACACAGTAGTAATAGCATTTTTAGAATGAAATCTATCATGCATAATTGAAATAGAAACAAAATTACATGCACTATGGTTATCCATTATGATAATCTCAAAATTACATGCACTAAAGTGTTGTGTTAAGTTCTAAACATTCTCTTTCTGCTCTTCATTGGTCTCATCTCTTTTCAATAGTTAGAATAAAACTAAAAATATTAAATAGAACTTTATACCATTATGATAGAGTCATTGTGGTAATGACTCTTCATTGTAATAATTGTAATTTACCTCTTTTCAAAAACAAAAATCAGATGCAACCCATTTCCATCTATGTGCTTGTGCCGCACCGCGGTTCGTTCACTTTTTTTCTTTCATGAGTAACTTGTGTATAGATACATAATGCATCCATTTTTATTAAATCACGAGTACTTGTGCATTGTAAAAATGATTTAAAAAAAATTAAAATATTGATTTTTTGGAAAATACAAAAATGTCAAATTTTTCCAAAAAAAAACAATTTTTAAAAAAAAATTAAAATATCAAGTGATTTTGGTGTAGTCATCCAACTACCACATATTAAGATAATTTCACGGCGTAAGTATTTTTCGCCTTTCAATTTCTCATCACGGGTTAATTAGTTTTAAAATAACGAATCGTCTGAATTTTTTTAATTTTAGGTTTTCGAGATTATGCAACTTTGATTTTTAAGGTTGGGGTTGAGTTCCTTGGCTCTTGTATATTCTGTTAAAATGTCTTACACAATTTTCAGAACCATTCAAGTTCACCCTTTTCTTCTCTATCCAACCTCAAAACTCAAACAAAGAAATGGGTTCTTTTATTCCACGATAACCAAAGCAACACAAACCAAAGTTCCAGCAAGTACTCAATCAAAAAAACTTGATACAATTCTAAAAGACTATGAAGCTGTCATTGGTATTGAAACTCATGTTCAGCTTTCTACACTTACCAAAGCCTTTTGTAACTGTCCTTACAGTTATGGATCGTTTCCTAACAGCAGCATTTGTCCAGTTTGTATGGGTTTGCCGGGTGCTTTGCCTGTTTTGAACTCTAAGGTTATTGAGTTTGCTGTGAAATTGGGACTTGCTCTTAATTGCAATTTGGCTTTTAACTCTAAGTTTGATAGGAAACAGTATTTCTATCCTGATCTTCCAAAAGGGTATCAGATTTCTCAGTTTGATGCTCCAATTGCTGCTTCTGGTTTTCTTGATGTTGATATTCCTTTGGAGTTTGGTGGGGGGCATAAGAGGTTTGGCATTACAAGGGTTCATATGGAAGAGGATGCAGGGAAGCTTATGCATTCTGAAAATGGAAATTTCTCTCAGGTTCTGTTTCTTTGTCCCTGCTTTTTGGTTTTGATATTTATTTAACTTAGGCTATTTCTTGCCATTTGTTTATCTTATCTGTTTTACATTTATTTTTGTGAATTAGTTTTCCGTTCTTTAACATTGTGGTGAATGTGAATGAGTGATTGATTGCATTTGTTCATTGATACATTTATATTTATTTTAATATTTTGAAAAATCTTATGTTGGATCAGTTTCATAGAATGCTTTGTTTCGCTCATTTTCCCTAATGATTATAACAGAAGGTTTGAGACTTTTATGTCTATGATACAAGTATGTTAAATATGATGGTATTTTTTCATAGGTTGATCTAAATAGGGCTGGGGTGCCTTTGCTAGAGATAGTTTCTGAGCCTGACATGAGAAGTGGTATTGAAGCATCAGAGTATGCAGCAGAATTACAGAGGTTGGTTAGGTATTTGGGAGTGAGCAATGGCAATATGCAAGAAGGTTCTCTTCGTTGTGATGTAAATGTATCAGTACGGCCCATTGGCCAGTCAAAATTTGGGACAAAGGTATTAGCTATGAAAACTTTATTAGGTATCTTGTTGGTCTTGCTGTTAAAATTGCTTGAAAGCTTTATTGATTCTTGCCAATGTTGTCCTTATTTTAATTATTCATTATTGTTTAAGAAACTCGGAGTAAGCTGTTAAAGGTTATTTCATGATTGGTTATGTTCTTTCCAAATCCCGAGTCGGGCATGCAAGACAATAGTTATTAGCTTTTTCAAACCATATTGGTGTTTTGAGTGCACTGGAGGTATTTGTATGCAATTAGGTGAAGCATGAGCATTTTTGGGTGTTAATTACCTTGAAATGGCTTTTTCTCTATAAATTGATGCATTTTACACTTGTGTAGGAAATGAAATTTATTATTTGAGCTGATTACTTTGATTGTTGGTTTCCAAGAAAATATTTTATTGGACAAAGTTGTGAGCTTTAATCAGCAATGAAAGAATAGAAAAACGAAGAGTATTTCTTGCAAATTGATTTTCTGGTTAAGAAAGTTGAGTTGTCTATAGAAATAAAGTACCACCAAATGATTTAGTCGAGCTTTATGTTGCAATGTAATGGTAACAAATACATATTACCTATTAAGGTGCTCATATGATCAATTGTTGCTCTGGCAGGTTGAAGTAAAAAATTTGAACTCATTTGCGTCAATGAGCAGGGCTATTGATTTTGAAATTTCAAGGCAGGTACTACTTCATAGTCAAGGTCAAGAAGATCAGATAGTACAGGAAACTCGACTCTGGGAAGAAGGTTCTCAGGTTAGTACTATATTCTGATATTGTTGTTGTTTACAATCTATTCTTCTAGAAGTTGTAGCAGGTACAAAATAACTTTCTTTTCCCTCATTCTTTTATTTTTCTTAAAGAATAATAACTTTTGTATATTCTGTTTAGAGAACAATTACAATGAGAAAAAAGGAAGGGCTTGCTGATTATCGATATTTTCCAGAACCAGACCTTCCATCAGTAATACTTTCCCAAGAATACGTGGATGGTATTCAAAGTTGTTTACCGGAGCTTCCTGAAGAAAAACGTAGAAGATATGAAAAGATGGGCTTAGGCATGCAAGATGTTCTTTACTTAGCTAATGATAAAAATGTGAGTTACCTGCTGTTTTTCTGGCGTTAATAGATTCTTTACCAGTTGATGCACATGACTGAAAATATATGTCCTGATAGGACTAGAATTTAGATAAAGAAACTTAGGTATTATTTAGATTTTAGAATGAAATAGTCACCAAATTCAGGGAAACAAGCCTCTATTTAAGTGTCAAAATAAAAGCACTATGAAACTAGTTGATAGTTGGAGCCAAGCTCCTTAAAATAAGGAAAAATATAGGAATAAGAAAATTAACCTCTGTACTGAGAAGGGACTTACTCCTCTTCTCAGCCAGTTCCCGCAATAGACCTCTTTGATAATATCCATGTTTGTCTTATTTTGCAGCACCAAAGAATTTTTGAATTGTTTAAATGCTCAATGGTCATAGATGCAACAACAAACTAATGTGTTTCCAGAAAAATAAAAATGCTGCAGAGCTTAATGAAAGAGAACTCAATAAATACCAATTATGTTTATTTATTACTACACATGGTCTGACATGATTTGCATTTTCTCAATGGACGTGTTAGATTGCAGAATTTTTTGATGCTACTCTTGCAAAGGGTGCTGATGCAAAATTGGTTGCCAACTGGATAATGAGTGACATTGCTGCCTTCATGAAAAATGAAAAGCTGACCATAAATGACATAAAGCTTACACCTGAAGAGTTGTCCGAGCTGATAGGTTCCATTAAAGGCGGAATCATCAGTGGCAAGATTGGGAAGGAGGTATAGTTTACTTTTGCACTAATTAGTAGTGCATATTTATTTATACTGTTGTATGTCTAATCATATTCATATCTTCTAGCTTTTCTCATCAGTTTTTCCAGAGACTGAAATTCTGTGTGGAAATTAATTGTGTGTTTATGGACCAAGAGGCTTAATTTATAAAATATATTGACTAGTAATGTGCAATTATTGGGCTAATACTTTGTTCCTGTTAGAATCGTGTACTGTTTTTTGAGGTATAATGGATCACATAAGTATAGTTTTCAGGAAAATTGTTTCTTTGCATATATTACATTCATTAAACATATGTTTTTCTTTTCATCCCTTTTCTGTTTCATCTCATATATATACCTTGTTGTTTGTTTGTTAGACTTTACTAATGTCTTTCATGGCGAGGTTTTGATTGACACGGTACAACATACTAGTCAGATATTTGTTATTCTGGGCTTATTTTGCATTCTGTGTTTTACAATTTGTTCATGTGTTTGCAGATACTATTTGAGCTGTTAGCCAAGGGTGGAAGTGTCGCGGAAATCATAGAAAAAAAGGATTTGGTTCAGGTTAGTAGTAGTACCATTCCTCATTTTCTCACTTTCTCCACAAGTGACTCATGCATACTCCCCTGTTCTTTTGTATGCCACATATCAATTCTGCTTTTGTTCCTGTGTTCGATTCTTGTCAGCCACCTCAGAATCTTCTCCTTAACCAAACAACCTGCAGTCCACTATCCAGACTTGGGCCTTTTACAATTCCTTTTCTTCCGTTCTTGTTGCATACTTGAACAATGAGTCTAATTCTAAATAACCCCTTTCAACAAGGTGCAATTCAGGTAAAACTTGTTCCGTTTCAGCACTACTCCTCCTCCCAAGTCTTCTCTTGCTCAGGCAGATAAATTTTTCCATTTGATCATAACTCGCTCCTATCCATCCAATAGTCTCTTCATTCCCAACCCAAATTTCCTTAGATATGGCCTACATATATCAGTCATGTAAGTCTGAAAAGTAGCCCATGCATTGGTCAATCCAAAGGGCATCACCAAGTACTCATAGTGCCCTGCTCGGCTTCTAAAAGCAGTCTTATGGACATCTGCCTCCCTCATCTGTGTCCTGTTAAAAGTAAAATATAATTGTGTTAATAAGGATAAAATATTATGTAACTAGGAGTAGAATATCATGTTATTATTCTTGTCATTATTTTCATTTATTATATTAAGCCAATATGAAGAGTCTGCCGTGTAGTTGAAACACATGGTTTCACCATATGTCTCTCAATTTCTTTGTTATTCAACATGTCCGATGGTATTCGTGACTTAAAATCCAGTTTAGAAAACATTCGTGCACCCCGCAATTCATCTAACAGATCTTCTATTACGGCCATTGGAAACTTGTTAGGTGTGGTAATATTATTCAAGACCTATAATATGTACAAAAGCGCCAACTAGTATCTATTTTCTTAACCAAAAGTAAAGGGCTATCTCCACTCTTCTGAACAACTACATTGGATTATTATTTGGAAATGACAGATAGCAGATCCTGTTGAAATTGAAAAAATGGTGGACAAAGTGATTGCAGAGAATCCGAAACAAGTAGAGCAATATCGAGGAGGCAAAACTAAACTTCAAGGTTATTTTGCGGGCCAGGTATGAACTTGTAGATTTGGAAACAATCATGTTTTATTTTCCCCCTTTTATTATCATTGTTTGGTTTACCTTTGTCCAAATGCAGATAATGAAGGTATCTAAAGGCAAGGCAAATCCAGGTCTACTTAACAAGATTCTCTTGGAGAAATTAAATTCAAAAAGCTGATGTTAATAGATTGCTATATGCAAGTTTTCAATCTGAATGCTACAAAGTTAATCACTCGTATTCGAAGAAATAGATAAAAGTTATTGTAATTTTATTCCTCAGCCAAATGCTTGGCTAGTTTATATAATGAGAATACAATCAAAATATTTAATTATCTTCTTAATGAAGAATAAAAGAAAATAAATGACAATAAACGTGAACAATTAAATATGGAAATAAAATATTTTCCAACACCCCCACTCAAGTTGGTACGTAGATATCTATCATGCCCAACTTGTCTATCAAATGTTTAAAGGTAGGTCTTGCCAAACTTTTGGTTAGGATATCTGCAATTTACTGACTTGAAGTCACGAAAGGTAGACATATGATTCCAGCATCTAACTTCTCCTTTATGAAGTGTTGATCAATTTCAATATGCTTGGTGTTGTCATGTTAAACTGGATTATGAGCTATGTTAATAGCATCTTTACTGTCAGAGTACAATTTCAATGGAAGCTCAACTTTCATCTTAAGTTCTTCTAAGACTCTAAGGATCCATAATCCTTCACAAATAGCTTGAGACATAGCTCTAAACTCAACTTCTGCAATACTCCTTGCTACAACGTCTTGTTTCTTACTCTTCCATGTCACAAGATTACCCTAAACATAGGTACAGTATCTAGAGGTTGATCTTCTATAGGTGACTGAACTTGCCCAATTAGCATCAGTGAAGATAGACACATTTCTTTCACTAGTCTTCTTAAAAAATAATCCTTTTCTAGGATTTCCTTTCAGATATCTCAATATCCTATAAACTGTCTCAAAATGTTCTTCGAAAAGAGAATGCATAAACTGACTCACAACACTGATTGAGAAAGCAATATTAGGTCGGGCATGTGACAAATAAATCAGTTTTCCAACCAATCTCTGATATTTTCCAGTATCAACAGGAAGATTACCTTCTCCCTAAAGTTTAGTATTAGGATCCATATGGGTATCTGAAGGACGACATTCACTCATTCCTGTTTCTTTCAATAAGTCTAGAATGTATTTCTGCTGTGAAACCACAATACCATTCTTTGACCGAGCAACCTCTATGCCTAGAAAATATCTCATGAATCTCAAGTCCTTGATTTCAAAATCTACTGTTAATTTCTCTTTTACCCTTGCCATTTCCACTATATTGTCTCCAGTAAGGACAATATCATCAACATAAATAATCAGAACAACAACTTTTCCATCGTTGAAGAATTTTGTGAACAAGGTGTGGTCAGCATGTACTTGAATGTACCCTTGATTCTTCAAGGATATAGTGAATTTTTCAAACCAAGCTCTGGGAGATTGCTTTAATCCATACAAGGACTTATTTAGTTTGCATACATTTGATCCAAATTTGTTTTCAAAACAAGGAGGAATGTCCATATATACTTCTTCTAGATCACCATTAAGAAAGTCATTCTTAACATCTAACTGATGTAGGGGCCAATCCAGATTAGCAGTAAGAGATAAAAGAACTCTTATAGTGTTCAATTTTGCAACAGGAGCAAATGTCTCTGAGTAGTCTATACCATAGGTCTGAGTGAAACCTTTAGCCACTAAGCGAGCCTTGTACCTTTCAATTGACCCATCTGAATTATACTTCACAGTAAACACCCATTTGCATTCAACTGCCTTCTTGCCATATGGTAGCGACGTAACACTCCAAGTTTTGTTCTTTTCAAGAGCTTTCATCGCCTCAAGTACAACTTCCATCCACTTTGGAATTTCTAGAGCAACCTGTACACTTTTTGGAATTTCTACACTAGACAATTTTGAGGTGAAGGCAGACATAGATGAAGACAAATTTGAATATGAAATAAAATTGGACATGGGGTGTTTAGTGCAAGATCTGACAGGTTTTCTAATGGCAACATGATCATCTATATCAGGATACAAAATACGACTCTCAGAAACAAAGGTAGACTTACCTTTCCTTTTGTTAGAAGGTTGATCATTCCCCAGTTCAGATTTCTGGCAGTGTTGAGATGTGGACTTGTCCCTTCGTTTATGGTGTTTTTTCATAAAAACCTTCCCTTTCCAAGTCCAGTTTCCTAATTTGAATATGTTTTCTTGAAGTGACTCATTATTTTGTGGAATTTTAATTAGATCATCATTATCATCATTTTCAGGATTCTTATTGTTTTCTACAAGAGAAAATGTAGGCTCAGATTCACAAGGCTCCTTACTCATAACAGGAGTATGATCAGATACATAATCATGACCATTTTCTGTTGGTGCAGATGTAAAAGTCTCAAAATTTTGTGGTGCAGGCAAAGATAAAATTTTTAAAATACTCATGTCCTCAATTTGAAACGCGTCTTCCTTTATCTCCCCCCTTTGAAGATGAGTATCATCAAAGAAATGTTCATTTTTAAAAAATGTAATATCCACAGTGACAAACATTTTCTTGTTTTTTGGATCAAAACATTTATATCCTTTTTGGGTTGAGGAGTATCCAACAAAGACACATTTTATAGCACGTGGCTCAAGTTTTTCAACATTTTTATGTTCATGAACAAAAGTTGTGCAACCAAAGACTTTTAAAGTCAAATAAGTTAAAACACGAGTACTAGGAAAACATTCTTTGAAGACATTAATTGGAGTTTGAAAATTGAGAATTTTGGAGGGCATTCTGTTAATTAAATATGCAGTTAAAACAGCTCCGCCCTACAAATAATTTGGTACTTTATTCGAAAAAAGTAGAGCTCTAGCAACCTCCAATAAATGTCTATTTTTCCTTTCGGCCACTCCATTTTGTTGAGGAGTATTAGGACATGAACTTTGATGTACAATCCCATTTTTTAGAAAAAAACCATCCAGGATAGTGTTAAAATATTCTTTGTCATTATCACTTCTAAAAACTTGGATATTTGTTTGAAATTGGCTATGCACCATTGAAAAAAAATTCTTTACAGCTTGGCAAACATCTGATTTCCCCTTTAACAAGTACACCCAACATACTCTTGTATGGTCATCTATAAATATGATAAATCATTTTTTGAAAGAGAATGTACTAGTACGGTTAGGGTCCCAAACATCACTGTGAATAATAGAAAACGATTTTGATGGTTTATAAGGCTGTATTGAAAATTGAGAATGATGATGCTTTGCAAACTCACATGCTTGACATTTAAACGAAGAAAAATTCTTATTGTGAAATAACTTAGGAAACAAGTGTTTTAAATAACGAAAACTAGGATGACCTAATCTTAAATGCCATACCATAATGTTGTCATCTTTATTATTCAAAACCGAAAAAGACTCAAAGCAGGAACTTATTGTTAAAGGTAGTTGTGATGCAGATCCAATGTCAAGGTAGTAGAGTCCCCCACTCTCCTTAGCACTGCCAATCATTTTCCCCAAGTTCAAATCCTAAAAGACACAGTGAGATCAGAAAAAATTAGTTTGACAATTTATATCTTAGGCTAATTTACTGACGGATATTAAATTACACTATAAGTTTGGAACACGAAGGACATTTTAAAGAGTTAATATTGGAGACAACACAACTGACGCTTTACTTGCAATGGCTGAAAAAGAGTCATCTGCAATTTTTATTTTTTGATTACCTGCACATGGACTATATGAAGAGAACAAAGTAGATTCACCTGTCATGTGATCAGAGGCACCTGTATCTACTATCCAAGTATGACTGAGACTGACACTAAGAAGTGCAGAATTACCTTTTGTTGCTATAGAGTAAGAAGGGGTTGGAGACTCGAGGAGTTTGTACAGTTTGTCTAGTTGTTTCGTAGTAAATGGAAGCTGAGTTGTAGGGGATTGCTGCCCTTGATCAGAATTACTAGTCTGAAATGCACAAACACCTTTCTTCTTCCACTTCAGTGGTTTGCCTTTGAGCTTCCAACAGGTTTCACATGTATGCCATTCACGCTTGCAGTGATCACACCAAGGAACTTTATCTGACCTTCTTCCCTCGTCAAGGTTCCTAATAGTCAGAGCTGAACCTTTAGATTCAGAGCTTCGTGGTGTCTTGCCCATCATAGTTCCTTGTCGTGCCTCCTCCCTTCTTATTTCTGCAAAAATTTCACGAAGAATTGACAATGGTATTTTTCCTAAAACTCTACCTCTTACCTCATCAAGGTCTTCATTGACATAAGAGGTTCCAATTTCCATTGTTGTCATTATTACTAGCAAAAACAATGTTAATGTCTTCATTATTACCGTCATTATTGCCACTGTTTGTGACCACTGACGGTTCCTCTCGTTCACCATCTCCGCGACCACCTCCGTTGCTGCGGCCACCGCCGTTGTTATTCGCCATAAGAGGTTAAACAGGTATGTGAATCAGATCGGATAAAAAAAGTGGGTCGAACAAAAATAACCTCGAACCCCATTAGTTGCAAAAAGCTTTACGGTAACCCTAACCTAGAGCTCTGATACCATATTGGAAGAAATAGATAAAAACTATTGTAATTTTATTCCTCAGCCAAATGTTAGTTTATATAATAAGAATACAATAAAAATATTTAATTCTCTTTTTAGTAAAAAATAAAAAAAAATGCAATAAACATAAACAATTAAATATGAAAATAAAATATTTTTTAACACCTCACATAACATGTGAATGTTGGAAGGTTCTTGTTTTGCTGATTCTAGAAAATAGATTTTGTGCATTTTTGAGTTCTAAAAGGATGAAGTAATTGCATTTCAACCGTTGATATTTCTCTACTCTGTCCTTATATTTTTCTGTAGAGGATTAAAATGTCAATTAGGCTCCATGTTTACGTTATTATTGTATGTTACTAATTAATTGATATATGTCAATTTCAAATGTTGTACTTAATTGCAGTTTGGTAGCAATGAACTATGAGTGAATGAGGTATGCATTATGTATAAAGTATAAGCACTCATTAGTGACTGTAGATGTGTATAGGAATATTTAATTTTAGTACAAAAGATTGAAATTGTGATTTGTATATTGTCATAAACATATATTACATTAATGTAATCCATTAGTTGTG